GAACTCATATATATTTTTGTAGATGATAAAGTAATAGTTTTTGTCGAACTAATTATAGAATAGTATTTTATTTTTCTAATATCAAATTTCTTTGACTGAATATAATTCAAAAAGAAAATAGTTTGAAAATTCTGTTTCTTGAATAGAAAATAGACTTTTTTAAATGTTTCTTTTTATTTATTTAAATAAATCTTATTTCATATTGCATATCATTGTTTGAATTCTGCCGTGAAAATAGTCTTGATTTATATGTCCAAGTAACATACATGAAAATCATAAGAATCTTCACTGAATGCAAAATGATCATGCAACAATCATTAAAAGTGTTATACTCAAATATTTAAATTTAATGTGAAAAGAGGTTGAAGATAGAATTATATATGATTTAGCTAATCATTGAAAATCAAATAACTAAATGTTAAAAAAAAACCATCATCCAGATCGTATCAGGCTGGGTTATGTATTACATTCACTAAAATGAATGAATTTAATAAAGAATTAAGCCTTAGTCATGCATATAGGGAGATAAAACACTTCTTCGTTTACTTTCCTAATTTTATTCGTAATTAAGTTTTTGTGATTTAGCTGATGATGAACCATCAAATGATATTTAACGACACATAATATATAAGCAAATCTTTTTCGCCCAGTTTTATGTTGGTCATGGATGAATGATTATATTTTGTGATGTTGCATACTTGTACAAAAGATTGTTTTGGTTATTTTTTTGTATTGATGTTGATCGCTGATATTTTTTTGCAAAAAAGTTATTGTGTTAAATGAACTAAAAACTTGTAGTAAATTATGATGATGATAATCAAAGTCAAGAAATAAAGATCGAAAACATTTCGGAAAGAATACAATATTAAAAGAGAAATTTGGGAACAATAATATTAATAAGAATTAAATCAAATATAGAAAACTTTTCAATATTCGACAAATTTTTGATTGAATAGAAATTATCTAAAATAGAGATCGGAATGACTGATATATTTTTTTGACGGCAACAGCTTCGTGAAAGCAATCTCAACAACTCATACTTTCCCTCTATGCTTGGCTTGAGAAAAGTATGAACTGTAGTTAATGTCACAAAGATATATTTGAGAAGTTTCTATTGTTAGTTATTTAAAACTGACTTCAAATGAAATAACTTGAAGAAATGATTAAAAAGTTTTGGAAAAACATGATTTCTTTTTTTTTAAACATGCAGCTCGAAATTGACCACGTTATTTTGATTCTATAATACTCGTAAACTTTCGCTTCATTTTATAGTCGATCTGCATGTAAACTCTAAAATTAGATATAGTGAAAACATCCATGGCGTATGAACCAGTAATCATAAATATATTTGAGATTTGTTTTTTTTTTGTTCTATAGAATTTTCATCTACTCAGCTTTCTTTAGAACATCTATTGAAAATATTGTTCGTATAATGCAATAGAGTTTCTATAGAAATAAAAAAAGTTGTTTTTTTTAGACTTTTTCGAAAGTAGTACAAAGATAAGGAAAAAACAAGACGGTTCACTTCTGTTCAAAAAGAAATTTCAAAGACAGAAGAAATCAAAAAACAATTTTGCAGTTCTAAAACTTCAGTCATAAAGAAAAAAAGAAAATAATACACTTATTGATTTTCACTTTTTTCAATCATCTTCATTGTTGAACGAATTTATATATCGATTTTTGAATTAGAACTTATCTTAATATTACTTTTCAAAAAATAGTATTAAAACGAGCAACATACAACATCAATATTGATATCATACAAAATGATTATGTTTTTTTCTCTCACGTTAAATAATTAATGGATAGGCATAATCATCTTCATACGAATAAACAACTCAATCAACTGTGAATTTGTTTTCCAAAAACAACAAAACTCATATTCTCCTATCATATATCGGAACGTGATTTTCAATCTATTCAACTCCTATTCTCTTCTCGCATCGATTAAATTCACAGATATTCAACTATAGATAAAAATAACTCATTCAATCGATGAGCATTCTTTTCTTTATGCAATCGATTGTTGTTTTATTGAAGTAGAAGAAATAAATCATTGCATGAACTAGCGAGTTTCTTTTTGCTTTCGGTTTGTGTATGAGTCTGTCAAACGGCTCTATATTCGCTATAGAGAACATTGCTTCATTGAAGCATAAACTATACCAAATAGGTTTTTTATTTATAGTACATATCCATCATTGTGGCTTATACTAGTTACCGTACCAGTGAACATGGTCTCACTGTGTTTGCAATAAGACACAAATTCACTGTAAGTCCACCCATGCGCATCTCTTCAAATAAAAACAAGAAGAAAAAAATACTCTCTTCTTCTCATTAGATTTTTTTCTTTGAATCGAACAGAAAACAGTGACATTGTCTTTTTTTTACGATTCGAGTTTCTTCTGCCGAGTTAGTAGATTAGCATGATTGTGAGGTACTGAACATTCCGAAATACTAACTTAACGTACATAAAATCGAAGTGCTTTCAGATGGTCACCTATGTGGACGTACATTGAACCAAATTTTTTTTAACAAGCAGCCATATTAGGGTGTTTTGAAGGACGAAAGTTTTGCTTGATTTTCATTACTTTTTCGTTACATGAAAGTGCATGCGAATAGCCATCCATCTTGTCACATAAGAACGCAATGTTGTTATAAGACGCACACAAATCAACATGACTTGAAGGGAGAGATTTTTGGTTAATTTCCAGTGCTTTCTAGTGAGATGAGAGTGAATTCAAATAATCACCCTTCTTGTCATAGACAGAATCAAGACTCCTGTAAGGAGTAGCTAATTTAGGATAGATTGAGGAAAGATTTGCTTGTAGAATTTCTAGAGCATTTTTGGTGAGATGAAAATGCAATAGGATAATCACTCACGTGATCATACACATCACCAATATTGTGGTAAGAAATAGCTAGTTGAAGATGATTTAGAGACAGAGTTGCTTGGTAAATTTCGTGCGCTTTTTGATGAGATGAAAGTGCCCTAGGTTAGTCACCCATGTTGTCATGCAGGATAGCAATGATATTATAGCAATCTACCACATTCATATGTTGTGATAAAAGATATTCTTGCTGAACTGTTAGTGATATTTCAAAAAATGTGAGTGCACCTGCATAGTTTCTTTTGTAAGACTCGATCACTCCGAGCCAATAAAATATATTTCCTCTGTCATGATCATTACAGTTTCTTTGAGCAAGCAATTTTTCGTATTAATCTTCAGCTCAGTAAATTGAACTAATTTTACCATCGATTTCTCTAGTCGAAGCCGTGGTGTCGATCCTTTAGTTCATGCAAATCTGGATTATATACATTGGGCAACGTTAAGTCGGCTTGCCAGAGACAATTATTTCTATCGATTTGCTCCACTGACCCAATGTAAAAATGGAATGCATGGAGAAGAGAATTTCTTTTTCTCCTTGGAAACAACCGACATCAAGAACGTTAGCAAACGGTGCTGACGCGATCTATGGATCAATTCTGATGAAGAATAAAATATCCGCAAGATCGAACTTTTCCATAGCATCACGAGCAAAATTGAAGGCTACTTGACGGTTTATACGAGTCGATAAAAAATTATTAAATGATAAAAGTCCACCTTTGCTTCTGATTAGTTGATCAAGGTCAACCTTTGACATTCTTTGATCACGATAAACAGTAAACGGATTTTGAAGTTGATTGTCTGGCAAATTGCTGAGCATAAAGGTCTGCAATTTGGTTGTGAAGATCGAGAATAAAAATATCCGTTTTAATAATGTGATTGGCTTCCATCATTCGTAATAATCGGTTGAGCATCGAAGAAAGAAAACAATCATAGGTATATCCACCAAATAGACTGATACGCTTGGTACTCTTGTTCAAGTTTCTTCACATTTTGTAGTTCTTTTTTATTTGTAGCGAGTAATTGACGACAGTCAGAGATAAATTTCTTAATGTGTTACTGGTTGAAATCGATGATTAATAAAATTTCTTTCATTATTTGAGTGTACATGAATGATGAATCCAATCCATCAAGGTTTTGCTTAGTAGCTCCACTACTGGTTGTGACAAAACTGATGGAGATTATGTTTTGATCACATTCTCGTCCTGCTTTTTGTAGGACTTTACATATCACAGCAATGTCTGTAAAGACTTTTTTAATTTTGACCACAGTTTGGCCCACTGTTTATGTTGAACTTGGTTCCCACGAAAAACATAAATTGTATTCACTTGAAGCGTGTCATGTATGATGAAAGGTATGGTTTGCCCCAATGCATCAGAAACGATTATAAATATTTGATCTTGTTTAAGATTACTGATAAATTTGATACATTCGTCGACCTCTGTGAATGTATTTACCGTCTATGTCATATTTTACTTTTTCTTATGATATCCGGAAGTGTTTTTCTCTCCTTCTCCTTATATATACTTGAACCTTATTTGAAGAAGTTTTTTTGGATGTATAAGAAGTAACTGTTTAATCATATTAAATTCCTATATAATTCTGCCAATAACATTATTTGTTGTCTCTGCTTAGGAGCATCATAGAAATCCATTCGATAACAACAAACCTGACTACTCTGATGTTATTTCTATTTTATATTTGTTTTGGTCTAGACCTACTGACTGTCGAGTGAAAGCGTTAGCGGTGACTCACCATCATGCTTCCATCGATGCCATTGTACCTGTTTTTTTTCTTTCTTTTTCTACTGTTACTGATATTGTTGTATCTCTTTCCTCTCTTCTCTATCTCTTATGTTATATATATGTACTCCGATGTAAGGACAGTCAGATTTGGATAATATAAGAAGAAATAAAGCTGGTCGAAACGAGCTGATAGAAAGTATGCCTAGTTTTATTCTCTTTTTTTTATTCTTCTACCGCATGTTTTTATCATAGGTTGCTATATTTTGTGCGCATTTTTCTATTTATCATTTGAATTTTAACATTTAAAATAGAAATACACAGATAATACGTTCTTCCTTAAACATAAATTATTATTATTATACCATCAAACATGGTTACAGTTAATTATTGGGCAATTGCAACATGTACAATGATGAATATGATTCTTGGAATGTTATGGTATTCTCCACTACTTTTTGGAACAACATGGTGTAGATTGATGAAATTAGATTATAATAAAATGAAAAATGATCCAATTATACAAAAAAATGCTCAAAAAGGTTATATGATATCTTCAATTTGTCATTTAGTAATGGCTATTATGATGGCACATTTTATTGAATATACGCATGCATCAGGATCATGGTTTGATGGATTAAAAATAGGTTTTTGTTGTTGGCTTGGTTTTACATTAACAACAATGTTACCAAATCAAATATTTTCAAAAGATAATTTCTCATGGATACTAGCTGCCATTAATATTGCTTATCCAATGGTTGGATTATCAACAGCTGGTGCTATACTTGCTGCTTGGCATTAATAAAGACATATTGATACTAGTTATGCGTCTTCTTTTTAAAACTCTTGCTCAAGATAGAAAATATACCATAATAGAGTTTATGAAATAGATGTTTGAAAAACAACAAAAAGTCAACGATTTTTTTCTCTTCGAAATAAATAGAGAATGAGAGTATTTCGGTTAAATATGTAATCTATAATCACATAAGTATCAATCATTGCTCCGACTACAGATTTCGAATTCATCGATGCATTTTGGATGAAACTCATCGTTAAAAGCTTATTATTTTTTCATGATATTTCCTCTATCTCAGATGATAGTTCTTCACGTATCAAATCTTTTTGATGAATCTTAATACTGGATTTTACCTCGCAACATTTCGTAGAAGTTACTCACACGGAAGTCACTATATTTTATTTCAGGATAAGCGTACACTAATGGTTTGAAACTACTCAGGTGGTCGTAGTGTGGCAAAATCTTCCGCATGAAACTCATTTTAAACAAAAACAAAATATATAATTTTGTAGAGCACTTGAAATATATTATTTCTATTATTCTGTTTTTTTTATGTAACGATGTGAACTAAGTTTCGCCATCAGTAGTACATCATGTAGTTAATTGGTGGTTCTAATTACCTTTTTTTCATTAGATAGCATAATAATGGTGGAACCAATTGAGATTATTCATTCTTTCTTCTTGTTCGAATCTGAAATAGTGTGCTGTCTCTAAGAAAAAAGTTGTTTCCTTCAACCCATCAACAGCAGATGCACTTCTCACTATTAATATCTATAGATAAAAGTCGAAAAATGAAAAAATAAAAAGAATTCTAATGTATTCTGAATTGTTATAAGATAGGCAACAACTTATGACTTATCTTATTTGAGACAAATGCTTTTTTTCTGTTAATATTCACCTTTGAGAAGGATTTTCCTTCAATAACAGAAGTAACTAGAGTGAAATAATGGAAAATGATCTGATGTTTTGCAACGGGTAACAGATATAGCTTAAGCATGCTCTCGTTAAAAAGAATGAATACATTGTAGCCAGATGTTTCACATGTCATTGAGTATTTGATTCTTGTTTTCACGCTCTTATATATGATACAATAAAAGGCTTTTTTATTTTTTTGATACATCAGAGAAATATTTTAGTTACATTCATTCAATCAATTCATGTGTTTTATTTCAAATGGAAGTCAAAGTAAGACCATCACATTTAAAATATATGATCAAAGTAAAACACATTAATCCGAGTGAAAATTATGTTAAATGATAAGACTATATGTGTTTATCGAAAATAGATGTCTCGATAAGATTGTGCTACATTTTATCATTATTCGTATCGTCAAAAAATGCAAAAGTTTTCTTCCGAATAATTTCGATTCATTTTTGATTAAAAAATGTATTCATGCATTAACCACACATGTTAAAAGTGATTTTAAAGAAATATAATTTTAACATAAAAATATCTATTGATCGATACTAATTGCATATTCTAACACAAAAGACACATCTAAATTTAAAAATAACTGGTTAATTCAGAAAAGTACAAGGACCAATATCTTACGAAATATAACTGATATTCTATGTGATGAAAGAATATTTTCACTTTGAACAATTTCAAGCAACAAATAATTCATAGTGATTAATGATAATAATCATTTAAATATAAAAATATATAATTTAATACAGTTCTAAGTTGTCAAGTGGTAAAGTGAAGTCAAATTGTCAAGATTAAATTTCTATTCAAACAGTGCCATTATTGTCTATATCGATAGTACGAAAAAAATAGAGATGTCAGTACAATCGAAAAGTATTTTGCTTCGATCACATTTCTTGATAGCTTGTCATAAACCAAAGACAATACATCTGAATCAGAATAAAATTCTAAATTGTTTGATATATTATTGTCTCAAATTACTCATTTCCCAAACTTTTGAATCAAAGTGCATCAGTAACTTCAACATCTGTTATAGCAAGCGTGATTCATTGGTCCCAGGCATCATACCAAAACGCAATAGAAAAATAAGGAATATTCGTATTTATATGTAAAAGAAAATAATTGAAAAATATTGTTTTCTATTATTTTATTTTTATTAGATAATGACAGTGGATACAGCTGCAGTACCAGAAAATAAGAAAACTAATCCTTCCATCGTTCGTAGCTAAAAAAAAAATTTCATTTTTTTTATTATTTTTGTTGATTTGTAATATTTTTATTTTAATTAGACGAAACGCGATCGACGTGATGTTATACGACAGGTCCGTGAAATTACTGGTCTTGATGATAATTTTATAAATCAAACAATCGAAGCATGTAAAGACAGTACTGGTCGTTATTCATTAGAACAAGTTATTAATTTATTATTTGATGATAATGTTTGTGTTCTTTAAAATAATGAAAGACTTTTTTTTATGTCTCTTTTTTGTCTCTAAATTAGCTTCGAAATAATCTTCAACAATCAACTCATAATAATCAGAATCAGAATCAATCTCATCCTAATCCAAATGCATCTGTTCAAGCAACAGCTACACCATTATCACCCCCAACATCTGATAGAAATCATGGTGATACAATTACAGATGATGTTATTGAAATTTCACCAGAAAATGATAATCAACAAACAATTGATGATGATTTAGAACGGTTAGAATAAAACTAAAAAGAAACTTTTGATAAGCCGAAAATTACTCATTTGATTAATTAGTAAAAGATCATTGTGCAAAAAAAAAAGGAGATTTTGTAATGAATGATTTTTGTTTTTGAATCATAAGATATTTGTTCACATTTGATCCACAATAAGTTATTTTCGATGAGTTAGGTCCAGAATTTTGTGCTTGTTTCAAATGCAGACTTAGAAATTTTGTCTGAATTTTTATGCTCGAGTGTAGTAAAATAATCTTTGAAAAACCCAAAAATATAGTTTGGATGGAAAATTTTTATAATTTTCGGTATTGAAATTCGAAACTAAAAAATCTCGAATCTTTATTTATATATCAGTTTGTAGATTGGAAGCTACCCTACAAAATACACTTGTTGAACCTTTTCTTGTCCTTCAATAAGGTCTCTTAATATTGTTTTTTTCCATGTACTCATTTTTGAAAACTCGATAATCGTTTATGTTCGAAGAAGCTTTTGAAAAATATTCTTGGTTAAAAGCAATAGTTTAGTTCAATATTATATTTTTGGTAGTGCAGTATCTGTTCTACAAAACGATCGACTTCGACAATTTTTGATATGTTCGAACAGGAGCTTGTAGACTGAACAAAAAAAATGATTCGTTCACTACTCTTAAATTAAAGCAAACATAACATTTGTGAGATCATATTCGATAAGAATACAAAAATCATAGCTTTCAATTAATCGAAAATACTTTCTAGCGGATTTCGAAGTATACAAACATCTTTTCAATCATTCTTTATATCTAGCAAAAAAATGCATAACATTTTGCAATGTCAACTTGAGAAATATAATATATTCACAAAAATTTTACAATATAAGAATTGAAGTTATCTTTTTTCCAAAGATATCAATAGATAGATATGTTTCGATAAATTTTTTTATTGGAAATAATTATTTATTAAGTGCTCTACAATTATCACGTGAAACAGTGGAACAAATAATTGATGAATCAGATATAGCTGAAAGAAAATCATGCGATGAACCAGTTGGTTTAAAAAATATTGGAAATACTTGTTGGTTTAATTCTATTGTTCAAGCACTATATACATTACCTTATTTTCGTCAACTTATATTAAATTTTCCACGTTCAGTGATTAATCGTGAATTAACTGATAGTGTATGTTGGTTGTTTTGTTTTTGTTTTTATTTTTATTTTAAAATAAATTTAGGAAAAACAAGCAATTTGTTTTACAGAAGAATTACGTAATTTATGTTTTTTAATGTTAAAATCACCACGTCGTTCAATAAATCCTGATCGTGCAATAAAAAAATTTAAAAATACACGAAAATTATGTGGAGTTGATTTTTCACATGAAGTATTTTATTTTAAAATATCAATAATAAAAATTTAAATTACAAAAATTTTTAGGATTGTTCAGAATTTGCTACACATCTAATTGATCTTGTTGAACTTGCATATGAAACAGTTGGAAAAAAGTTCGGAGTTTTTGTTTTTTTAACTATTAGTTCAGTAACACATAAAAATTCAATTTATTATTTATTATAGTTTAATGAATATTGATAATACAACAATATCAACAAATTTTATTAATCCTATTAATACATTTGTTACAGGAGAAGTTATTGTTGAAAGAAATGAAAATAATTCAAGTAAATTTTGTTGTTTACAGTTTCGGAAGAATATTCTGTTTGAAATTTAGTTCGTGAAGCATTAAGACAAATAAATATTCAAATGATTGATTCAAGTAATCTTTATGATGGTCTTGAAGCTCTTTGGCTTGGTTCAGCAGATGAAAGTCTTTCTAGTCAACAAGTATATTTCATATTTATTTATTCACTTACTCTTGCAAATAGAATTTAAATAGTAAACCAGAGAACGTCATAGAACATAGGACAGTATCAAAAAAATAAAGATAGACATCCATAATGTGAACATAAGCATAAGTGAAGAAACATTAGTGTACTGAATTCTACTACTTGCAGGATACGAATTCTGTGGCGTTTCCTATAGTTCTTTCTAAATAATTAATCAATTTAACTTTGAGTTATTTTAACAGAATATAATAAATCGAGCTTTAGCTCTTTTGAAGAGAGCAATAGTAGTTTTATTTATTTATACGAGAGATGTGCAGAGCTAGCCTTCCGTACTCTATAGTATAACGTAAGAGTTAGAAAATATTTGTTAGTTAGGTTATAGAGTATGAAAAAAAGCTTATCCTGCATATTTCTATCTCTAATCTATACATTAAATGATATTGTAGAAGACAATCATTAAACTCATATTTACTTCATATTTATATTAGGCTATTGTTGAACAACGATGGCTTACACGTTTACCGCCTGTTTTATTTATCTGTCTTAATCGTTATCGATTTTCA